TTTATTAATCAGATTGAATTTCACTTCGAAATGTATCCACGTTCATTTCCCACAGAGAGGTCTAAGGTTGGGTTCTTTATGCACCAACTTACCGATAAGGCACTTGAGTGGGCAAATCCTATTTGGGAAGCTAATGGACCTATGGTACATGATTTCAACAGTTTTCTTACGGCTTTTCGTAGAACTTTTGACACAATGAAAAGGTCAAAGAATGCCGCGAGAGCATTAATGAGAATTAAACAGGGTTCTAGGTCTGTGGCTGATTATGCTATTCAGTTTCGCACTCTTGCTTCGCAGGTAGATTGGACCAACAATGGGTTAACTACTGCCTTTATGGAAGGTTTGTCAGATACGATATTGGATGAGGTAGCAGCTAAGGAGCTTCCTATTGCCTTAGAGGACCTTATCGATTACCTCATTGATATTGATAATAGAATTCGTGACAGGCTCTATACCAAGAACAGGAATAGACGTTTTGTTACACCCATTAACCCCAGAGTTAATATACCAGAGAGTGTTAAAGTGTCTGAGGAGTTTGAAGTGTCTGCTGTTCTTGACTCTCGTTTCCTTAGGGGTCGACTTCAGTACTTGGTACATTGGAAGGGTTATGGGCCTGAGGAGCACAGTTGGATTTTGGCTGATGCTGTCCATGCTCCCCGTCTTGTGCGCTCTTTCCATTCTCGTTTTCCTGCCAGGCCTGGTCCTACCCGCCCGGGGGGCGTGTCCTCAGGGGGGGGTACTGTAGCGTTACTTACCTTAACCGGGGGCCGGTCGCGGTCCTCTCTTCAAGCCGCGCGCGGTCCTGCGGCTGCACGAGCCGCGCGCGGCTCATCCAACTGCTTTGGATGGAAGGCGGGCAGTGACCGCGTGAGGCGGTCACGTGTCCCGCCTGAAACTAAGAGCGCGCCGCGAGTCTCGGGCGCGCTCTTAAAGAGACAGTGGGAGCCTAATTGCCAAAAGGCTCCCATTGGCTCCTGTCATACCACACTCCCTGTACAATTACCTATAGGGGGTGTGGAAGTGACAGGAGCCAATCACTTTCGTTTTAAAGCTATTTAAACTTACCTTTTTCCCTTAGCTCGTTGCCCTATCGTGGTTTCTGTTTCAGTTCCCTTTAGCGCTTGTGGTGTTCAGTTGTGTTTTCTCGTATTGACTTTGGCTTCGTATTCTGACTTCGTTTTCGCTTTATCCTTATCTGTACTGTTTGCCGGCTTGCTGTTTTCCGTGTACCAGACCCCGGCTTGTCCTAGTTTACGCTGTCTCTCTGTGCCCTTGACCTCGGTTTGTTCCTGGCTCTGTCTCCTCTCATATACGTCGAGTCCGGCCATTCTAAGGTCCGGTAGACGTATCTCTCCTCTGTATTTGCCTCTGTTTAGCTGGATCCTGCGTGTAGGGGTATATTCTCGTTACACAAAGAGACTGCGAGAACAAAAACTAGCCAAGGTCTGGTAGACAGTAGTCAGTAAGCCGGCAAACAAGACAAAACAGGGATAGAGAGATAAACAGAGTCAGATACAAAGCCAAGGTCAAGCACGAAAATCACAACTGAACACAACAAGCGCTAAAGGGAACTGAAACAGAAATCACGATAGGGCAGGGAGTTAAGGGAGAGGTAAGTATAAATACCCTAAACTTTACTTTGATTGGCCCCTGTCATATCCACGCCCCCAAAATGTGAGTGTCTGGGGAATGTGGGATGACAGGGGCCAATGAGAGCACATTTCATTTTTTGGCTCTCACTCTTAGAGCTAGGCGGGACACGTGACCACATCTCGCGGTCCGTGCCCGCCTTCATTCGAGAGCCACGCGCGGCGGGCAGAGAGGACCTCGGCCGGCCCCTGGGTAAGGTAAGTACCTCTACACACAGTTACACATACACACAATCAGATGCAGACAGTCACACACACACAATCAGTCAGGCAGTCACACACACATACACACAGTCACAGACAGTCACTCACACACACACACACCCACAATCACAGGCAGACAATCACACACACCGAGTCACGCAGACAATCACAGGCAGACAGTCACACACACACATGCAGACAATCACACACACAGTCAAAGACAGTCACAATCACAGTTACACACAGCACACACTCTCTCACTTACAGTAAGTTTGGGCTGGAGGAGGAATGGATTCAGTCCCTGCTGTGTTGTAGTTGGGGAAGCAGGGACTCCTTCCTGCTTCCCCTCTGTGTGCAGCAGTATGAGGCTGCATTTAGCTCCGCCCCCACCGCCGTCTTGTCTCCACCCCCACAGATGATCTGGCTCCGCCTCCAAACCTCCGTGCAGGTCTCCTGCTCCTGCTCCCAGCCCCTGCGTGTGAGCTGTGTCGGCTGCCCGGCGCCCCTGCTGCTATGGCACCCGGTGCAGCCACACAGCTCACTGAACTCCAACCCCCCTACCTGATGGCACCCGGGGCGGACCGCCCCCCTCCCACATTCCCCTTAGTACGCCACTGACTTTACCTGAGTAAAATGCTCTCCTCGGCTGTTCCCACCTCCTATAGCCTCTGATCCAGTACCAGCACTTTATTTAGTCTACCTCAATACAAAAAGAAAGTGGCCCGATCCTCCTCCACCTACAGAGTGCCGCAATTGTGGAACAACCTCCCGCACACTTTAAAATCTTGCCCAAACCTAAAGTCCTTTAAGAGATCCCTCTCTACATACCTCAAAACAGAATGCATGTGTCATGGTTAATTATATATTTCCTACCTGTTCTATGTTAAATTTTGTATATATTGTGTATTAATATTGTTTTTGTATTTTATTGTACCATAATGTATCAATGCAATGTTTTTTGGACCCAGGACATACCTGAAAACAAGAGAAATCTTAATGAATCTTTCCTGGTAAAATATTTTATAAATAAATATATGAGAGCGAAGAGAGAGCCTGTGCAATAAATCTAAGAAGTAGATTGTTTTGTCTCTGCCATTTTTATCCCAGGAGGGATTGTTATTGGGAACTGTCATAGTTAGAGCAGACTTTTCTTCTCTACTCTTGTGAGTGTACACTTTTATATATTTCAACTTTACTTTCTGTGTTATAGATTTAAACTATTATTGTTTTTTCCCCTCCTTTTTATGTTACATGGAGAGGATCTACATATGCATTTATAAGTGAGTGCTTTGTGTATTTTATCACAGTTGTACACATATGTGCACAATATATGTGTTAAGAAAATGTATGCACTTTATATATAAAGTGCATAAATATATATATCACTTTGCACAATATAGCAATTGTTGCACTTTAAATACGTTTGTCTTAAAGGCACAGCGCACCTATATTTTTTGTATTTTCTGTGTGTTGGTATAAGCTATAATACTGTTTAAGGTGCTGCTTCTTTTTAAAGATTTTTGGGTTTAAATTAGCTAAAAGACAAATAGTATTAGCGCCTATATTTTCACTTGTCCCTTTTTATTCTAGTATATACATCACATATGTTGTGAAACCATTCTTAAAGGAACACTATAGTCACCTAAATTACTTTAGCTAAATAAAGCAGTTTTAGTTTATAGATCATTCCCCTGCAATTTCACTGCTCAATTCACTGTCATTTAGGAGTTAAATCACTTTGTTTCTGTTTATACAGCCCTAGCCACACCTCCCCTGGCTGTGATTGACAGAGCCTGCATGAAAAAAAAAACTGGTTGCACGTTCAAACAGATGTAATTTACCTTAAATAATTGTATCTCAATCTCTAAATTGAACTTTAATCACATACAGGAGGCTCTTGCGAGGTTTAGCAAGCTATTAACATAGCAGGGGATAAGAAAATCTTAATTAAACAGAACTTGCAATTAAGAAAGCCTAAATAGGGCTCTCTTTACAGGAAGTGTTTATGGAAGGCTGTGCACGTCACATGCAGGGAGGTGTGACTAGGGTTCATAAACAAAGGGATTTAACTCCTAAATGACAGAGGATTGAGCAGTCAGGCTGCAGGGGCATGTTCTATACACCAAAAATGCTTCATTAAGCTAAAGTTGTTCAGGTGACTATAGTGTCCCTTTAAATGGTTTGGCTACTTACACTCTGAGGAAGTTGGAGCATTTCTGGCACCATAACCACTACAACGGATAGACTTGTGTTGTTGTAATTATATCTGTTGTGACCTTGGGACAAGCAGCTGTGTCCGGGAGTCCGTGTTTCGTGCTTTTATTGCTTTATGAACTCCATAGGGAAGCACCAGTAGTGCATAAAGCCAAAAGAGCAACACTATTCCACTCTATAATCTTCTATGTGTCCATAGATAGGACCAGAGATGGCTTTGCAGTGTCCCCCAGTCTCTAAAATGTCATAAATCACATTTTCCCCTTTTTGTTTTTACTTACTATTTTTTTTTCCTTTCAAATAATTGATGATCCAAAATAAATGCCACCTGATCTTGATGTGTAGTTCCTCGTGAAGATAGCCTCTTCCCATCATCGGGATATTATCCATTTTGTCAGCTTTTTTAATAGATTATCCTGTCATACAAATGTTTCAACTCCGCTTGGAAGCTATTGGAATTCAAATTGATAATGGATTTTATAACTCCTAGTGAAAAGTTATCTTCCTTAAATGACCCAGAAACTACTATTTTGTGGGCCAACCATATGGTTGCTTAGCCAACATCTTTCAATAGCAAAACATACAAACAGCAAATCCATGAGGAAGTAGAGGGGAGACAGACATAAATTGCTGTGTCCGTATGATGTCCCTAAATTATGTTGTTCATCTCTGATCGATTGATAAGATGTTGCAATTTGTTATTAACTTAAAGGGACACTATAGTCACTAGAACAACTACAGCTTTTTTTTTTTTTTAACATTCTCTTTAAAGGAACACTACAAGCACCATAACCATTAGACCATTGTTTTGTTAATAATGCAAGAGTGCTCAGGTGAAGTCCCTAAGCAATCTGTCAATCCTTTTGCACGTTTTGACAACTTACCTTAGTCCAGCAGTCCATCCGTTGGCTGAGAGTTTCAGCTGAGTGCTTTCAGCCAATGAATGAGTTTCTGGCTTCTCACATTTGAGAATACTAGATGCAGCACCGGCACCTGGCAGGACCAAGGCAAGTGTAATGTAAAATTGTGCTAAAATAGTTTGACAGATTATGCTAGGGCAGCTCCAATGGATTTCTAGCACCATAAACAATATGTTGGGCTGTAGTGATTATTGTGGCAGAGAGAACACTCTGGAATAGTGTGCAAATACCAGGAGCTGACCTGTGATTATGGCTAAAATATGATGGTAATAGAAAGTGCAACATAAATATAAAATATAAAATGTACTGTGCCTTTAAGAAATGAAAAAATGGAAATAGAAAAGAAAAAAAAAATATAAGCAAATACAAATATAATATTAGGAATAAAAAGGAAGGAATAAAAGGATAAAAATAATGCTAATAAAAAAGGATAAAATTGTAACAGATAAAAACAAAGATAAAAATAGGATTAGGAGTAATGAATGATATGTGCAGTGAAAATATCTCTATCCCTGATCCAAAGCAGAGTAGTTAATACTTGCACCAAATGCTGTAATTTGTATAATACAAAGATACAATCAGGATAAAAAAGTATATGTAATGTAGCAATACAGTATAGAAGACTGTTTGCTATAGTAATACAAACAGTGTATCACCAAAATGGAAAGCAATGGTACGAACTGGATGTAAATTAGAAAAACCAGTTTATTGATTAAAAAATTAAAAATATAGATCAGGAATAGTTCATACAGTTGTCACCAGTCTTATGAGGGTCAGTAATATGCAAGGACCTTTGAATCTGGCTGGGATTGATGTGGATTGCCTTGACAGATTTGCGCTTGAAATCCAGCCACCGGTAAGGACAGCATGATTCTGTGTGCGTCCCGACAGGGATCTCACTCCGGGGGTGGTGCACTGCAGACAGCTTGGCTCTACGAGTGCACCAATGGTCCTGTGTAGATACGGACCGCTGCTGGTTTATGCTCTGTATGCTGGATCTGAGTCCTGATGATTCAGTGTGTCTTACACGTTTCATAGGAGGATGCCCTACTTCTTCAGAGACGGGATGTGGACCATTGCTTCCATGTTTCTTATATATGCATGCTTTTAATTGTTAATAAAAACTATAATTGTATATTACATTCTAATTACATAAAAAAAGACAAATAAGCATATGTATCTGTATACCATACTAGAAACAAACATTAATTTTGATGTATAATGTATATACCAGATGTGGAAATAAGAATTATAAAATAATTATACATTCATATAAACCTGATTGTCAATTAAAGTAATAAAAATATTTGAAATACATTATGTGCTTCATGATATAATAATAGACAATTAGATGGTATAATATAACATGATTGTACAGCTCAATAACAATAGTAGTAACATAATTAGAACAATATTGCTGATAGTATCTATGTAATCGCTTAAATTATAAAAAGGATAAAAATACAAAAAGATATATAATAATGGGTAATAGCCAAAAAATGAAATAAAATGATTAAGAAATCAATAAAATAAATGTATTAAATACCTTAATACAACCTGATGATTAAAATCCTTATAAATATAAGGAACATAATGATACCAATTTCTCCATCATTATAAGGAACATGTTTCTAATGCTATATATTATATTAGTATAGAGAATCATATATTCAGAGTATTTCTGTGGTATTTGGAATTCACATAAAGGTACATAAGAGTTTGCATAGAGGACCCCATATATATGATCAAATATATAACAGACATAAAACAGACGTAAGGAGTGAGAGTTGTGAAGGATAGATTCTATGAGTAATATAACTTAATAATAGAACATTGATAGTAATAGAAGTGATAAGTGCATAGTGCAATCAATATGCATTCTATGGCAATAGATATATACGTATATAGGGTATATCTAAAAAGCGAATGTGATAAATAAGGGATAAAGATTGATTGATGAAAAAAGAGAGAAAATGGGGATGTCGGAAAGTAGATCTGGACATAAAGTGCATCTGAGTGGATAATAATGGGTTAAAGGAATGCATGTAACTCAAAATCTATATTTAGTCCTTTAGGGACTAAGGTGTCTAATTCGAAGATCCACTTTGCTTCTGTTTGGTCTAGTATTTTGTCAATGCTACCTCCTCTCCAATGTACATTGACTTTTTCTATAGCTAGAAAAGACCCATAGGATCTCCCCCATGCATTTCCTTAAAGTGTTTTGAAAGGTTGTGTTTTAGAAGTCCCTTTCTAACATTCCTAATGTGCTCCGCAATGCGTACTTTCAGTGGTCTCTTTGTACGTCCAATATATTGCTTCGGGCACGGACAGGTAATAAGATAAATGACTCCTGCGGTATTACAATTCATCTTACTTTTAAGGTCATATTCTTCTTGGTTAGTTAATGATGGGAATCTTGTAGTTACTTCTTTCATTGAGGGATTATTCTTACATGCTAAACATTTCTTACATCTTGTAAACCCATGAGTGGAGTCTTGACCTCTGGTAGTATTGAAGGATTTGATAGTAGGTGCCAGCACAAGTTGGAGATTAGGGGCTCTTGTGAATATGATCTGTGATTGGTGATCAAGGAATTTAGAAAGGATTCCCCAGTGTTTTTTCAAAATCTTCTGTATTTTCAGCGCTTGATGGTTATATTTCATAATAAAAGTGGGTGCCAAAGTATGTGATTCCATAGTTCTATTTCTTTCACGTAGAGTGTCTTCTCTTGGAATAGATAATGCTTTCTCCATGGCTTCTCCTAGTATCCTTTTTCTACAAATCTTTTTTTCATTTCTTCCATTTGGTTCCTGCAGACGTCAACTTTAGAGCAGTTGTGTCTGACTCTCCTAAATTGGTTCTGAGGAATATTCCTTAACCATGTAGGTGTATGATGACTATTAAAAGGAATAAAACTGTTACAATCAACATTATTTTTAAAAGTATGGATTCTTCCTTCCTCAATGTAAATGTTAAGATCTAAAAACTCAATCTGTTCTTTAGAGTGATTAAAAGTAAATTTCAAGTGCTTGCATTGGATTATTGTTGAGGTAGATCTTGAATTCCTCTAAAGATTCTAGATTTCCTTTCCATATGAAGAAGCAGTCGTCAATATATCTATGCCATAGGGACAGATTTGCGCCAAATGGGCAGTGGGTCCATATAAATTCTTCCTCCCACTTACCCATAAATAAGTTAGCGTAACTTGGCGCAAATCGTGTCCCCATGGCTGTGCCTTCTATCTGGAGAAAAAATAGATCATCACACCAAAAATAATTATGAGTAAGAATAAAAACGATGCACTGGATTAAAAAGTCAATTTGATCATTTTTAAACTCTGAGTATGTGGCTAAAGAAAAATGTATAGCTTCAAATCCCTGCAGATCACTTTATATAGTGAAGTGACGTCAGCAGTGACTAAAAACATATCGTTGTCCCACTTAAAATCGGATAGAAGATTTAGAATTTTGGTGGAGTCTCTCAGATAAGATTTGAGGCATAAAACTAAATGTTGTAAATAATGATCAACATATTCTGAAAGGTTAGCGGTGAGGGATCCAATTCCAGATATAACTGGTCTTCCAGGGGGTTTCTCCAATTGCTTATGGATTTTAGGGAGATGGTAAAACACTGGTATCCTTGGGAATTGAGTGTGTAATACTTGAATTTTCTTTCATTCAGAATATCTTTCCCACAATCGAGTATTTCTTTAAGTTCTTCTTTATATTGTAGAGTAGGAGTCAAGTTTGAGGTAAGTATTGGTGTCTCCTAGTAATCTTCTATTCTCTTCAGGATGACTAGACCAGTAGTAATGATTATTGTGCTTGCATTGTTATAAAAAAAATATTTATATCGTAAAGGAACACTATAGGGTCAGGAACACAAACATGTATTCCTGACCTTATAGTGTAAAACCCACCATTCAGGTGGTCCCTCCTCAGCCACCTTAAAAGAAATTAAAACTTAACTTATTTCCAGTGCCGTGCTGGTCTGCCGGTGCTGGCCCAGCCCCCGAGATGACATCATCAGAATAGCCGATTTTAAAAAAATTGGCAAGGAGGTAGACAAGAATTCTCAATAAGATTTCATTTGTAAGGGGTGTGGGGCGGGAATCGGGGTGGGACACGGGGAGTATAATAAGAAACATAGAAACACTTAATACATTTCAGGATATGTTCATGATGAAAAGAGTTCCAAGGCCTAAATCACAGATGCACAGGGAAAAAAATAAAAATACCAGGCTGGTACACGTCTGAAATAAATAAAGTAAAAATCGGCAAAGAGGTGGGATGAGGGCAGGGCCAAATGTCATTTTGGCCAATCAGCACTTCATAGAGATGCATTGAATCAATGCATCTCTACAAGGAAAATTCAGCGTCCCCATGCAGAGCGTGGAGACGCTGAACGGCAGTGCTGCCTACTGTGCAGCACTACCCCAGGAAACACCTCCAGTGGCCATTTGAGGAGTGGCCACTTGGAGGTGTCCCTGGGGGCAATGTAAACACTGCCTTTTCTCTGAAAAGACAATGTTTGCATGAAAATGCTTGAAGGCAATGATTACTCACCAGAACAACATCATTAAGCTGTGACGGTGACTATAGTGTCCCTTTAAAAATATCCATCACAAAAAAAAATTCTTTATGACATGCTTGTATTGACTGTGCTTGAAATTAATTTGAATTCCAGGACAGTCAAAAGATACCCTTTCAATTTTAAGCTCACAGGCAGGGTCCTCTACATATTATATTGGTCTGTGTTTATTGTGTTTGTCTCTTTCCCAATTGCACAGCGCTGCGGAATATGTTGGTGTTTTATAAATGCCAGTAATAAATAAAAAATTAGACTGGAAGAAAGAAGATTTCGTCTAAGGCAAAGGAAAGTTTTTTTTTAATGTAAGAACAATCAGGATGTGGAATTCTCTGCCTGAAGAAGTGGTTTTATCAGAGTCCATACAGATGTTCAAACAGCTACTAGATGCATACTTGCAAAAACAGAATATTCAAGGATATAATCTTTCAATGTAGGGTAATAACTGCTTGATCCAAGGATAAATCTGACTGCCATTCTGGGGTCAAGAATGATTTTTTTTCCTAGCTTGTTGCAAAATTGTGCTTCAAACTGGGTTTTCTTGCCTTCTTTTGGATCAACAGCAAAAAAAAATGTGAGGAAGGCTGAACTTGATGGACGCAAGTCTCTTTCCAGTTATGTAACTATATTTTGATATCCACTCCTGGTGGCTTAAGCGCCAGGATCTAAAAAAAGATTATGGCTGTGTCTGAGAGGGACAGCTTCAGGTAAGTATAACTTACTTCTAATTCACCTGAAAAGTCAATGTCACCATCAGAGGTTTTTGCTAAATATGCAAAGACCCGTGAAAGTGACAATACCTATTTCACAGAATTTCAATACAGACACTTCTCACTTACCGACCAGGTTCCGTTCCTATGACACAGTCCTAGAACAAATTGGTCAGTAAGTGAGGAGTTAAGGGATTCCCTGGTCTGGTCCGCTTGTCTATGTTCGGGGAAATTTCCCGAACATAGACTAACACAAAAGAGCAGGGAATCCCTCTATTTCCCACAACGGCTCGCACTTACACCCCGCGAGAGAGCTGGTCGTAAGTGCGAGCCATAGCAAAACGAGGTCCACCTGTATTATAATATGCAATCTTATTAATAATCACTTGCCCCTTTATTTACCCCACTTCTTTCTGACCGCCATCTATATATATACACAATTGTACAGCGCTAGGGAATCTGATAGCTTTATATAAACAATAAAATAATAATAATATTATATACACCTTCGGTTGGATTGTCAGTTATAGGACCCACAACTCACTCTTTTGCAATTGTCCATTGTTTTTCGAAAGTTGCTGGACAGAAAATGCTGCGGGCAAAAAGTGCACACTATTTTGAAAAGCAACAATCACTTATAAAATAGTATGCAATGGTTCAGATATTTGCCAATCCAACTGACAGGCATAAAGATTGCTATCAGACAGAGTAAATAGGAAAGGCATGCAAGTGATTTCTTCAAATGTTTCAATATACACGAATTAAAAACAAAAACAAAACATTGACGAGTTGATATATTAGAACATAAACATTATCTCACGATATTTAAAATAAATAACCGCAATCCTTTAAATTTTCTCTTTAAATAAACATGATCATGTAAGTTAATAGTGTATAGCAAATAAAGCTTATTGAAAATGTACGTTTGCTCAATCAGGACTAGATCCTGTAACTTTGAAAAGAAAAAAAATAAGCGATCTTAGGTATCCAGCAAACGCTTCTGGCTTGGCAACCATTTGCTCGGAGACCAGAAATGAATGCGTCTCCAGGAGATTCCCCTTACAAAATGGCACCTACGTTGGAGACATTTTTATTTCCGTCTACATTTTATTGCGTAATTGCGTGAATAGTTTTTACACTAGATTGACCAATGAGATGCTGAGTATGTGAAGGTGTTGGCTGCGGAAGTCAGAGTTCGCTGTCCAACCGACAAACTTGTTTACATTTAAGACAGTTCGATTGAACGAACACCGGGAGCTGCTCGTAAGATGGCAGCGACAGCGGCAGCGGCTATGTCGCTGTCTCCCCAGCAACAACAGCCACAGCCGCAGGAAGAGCCGGAGCAGCGTGAAGGGGCACCGGAGGAGAGCGAGGCGGAGGTTTTCCTGTCCGGTACTCATTGCTCGGACCTGGCTTGGCGACAGAATGAGCAAAGGAAACAGGGCTTGTTCTGTGATATGACGCTGGTGTTTGGCGGCGGAACTGGGGGCCGTGAGTTCCCCGCACACCGCTCGGTTCTGGCCGCCGCCACCGATTATTTTGCCCCGCTGCTCTCCGGACAGTTTGAGGAGTCCCGCTCTGGGAGGGTGGACATGAAGTGGAGCTCGGAGCCAGGGCCTGACCTGGAAACTGTGGAGGCCGTGATTCAGTATATGTATATCGGGCAGATCAGGGTCTGTACTGGGAACGTACATGAGGTGCTGGAGCTCTCTGACAGGTGAGGTCTGATGAGCTGCCAAGTCCTGGGCCCTACTTTATAGAGCAAGGTTGGGTTAAAGTGATTGTTTTTTAAAGGGACACTGTAGTCACCAAAACAACTTTAGCTTACAGGAACACTATGGTGTATACCTGACACTGTAGGTCAAGCATGTCAAACTCGCGGCCCACTGGCCGCATGCGGCCCACAAGGACCATCTTTGTGGCCCAGCGAACCGCGAGTACATGCTCAGTGTTATAGCAGAGTAGGCACCTGCTTTCCACACATTGCAGGTGCCTACTCTGCAAACACTTACCCGACCGGGGAGGAAGGGGTGGTGGAAGCAGCGAGGGAGCTCTGTGTTCTGCTCCTCACTGCTCCCTCGCGCCGTCTGAAGTGAAGCCGGGTTCTGGCATCACTAACTCGCGCGAGGGAGCAGTGAGGAGCAGTGAGGAGCAGTGAGGAGCAGTGAGGAGCAGTGAGGAGCAGTGAGGAGCAGTGAGGAGCAGTGAGGAGCAGTGAGGAGCAGTGAGGAGCCTCCCAGTCTGTCAGCGTGTGACTGTCAGTCTGTCAGCGAGTATGCGTGTGTGTGTGTGTGTGCGGCCCACATAAACTTAAATCCTTGTTTATGTGGCCCATGCCACACTTTGAGTTTGACATGCTTGTCGTAGGTCTATATAGCTGTTCAGGCGTCCCTGGGCCCCTCCTAGTTACAGTTAGATCTACTTACTTTCTTCCAGCGCCGCGCGGGTCTGGCTGAGACTGCAGTGGCATGATTTATACACAAAAAAGGGACACACCAGGCATCAAAACAACTTAATCTAATTGGTTTAACCCCAAAGTTGCATTAACCTGCAATGCCCACACCGCCCCAGGGGTGTGGAATTTTCAGATTCAGGAAGTGCGGACTGCTGCCAGTCAGTGACGCCCCATTCACTAAACTGGCTTGGAAAAGGTTTTAACCCCTTGAGACAAGACTGTCTCCAGAGACTTCCTGGCATGTAATACATGATGTAATACATAAAAAAATAGTATAAAGTGCAATGCAAAGTAGTGTACAAAAAAAATCTAAATCTGGTCACAGGGTTAACCCCTTAATGACCAGACACCTTTTAATTTTCTTACCGTTTGGGACCAGGGCTGTTTTTACATTTCTGCGGTGTTTGTGTTTAGCTGTAACTTTCCTCTTACTCACTTACTGTACCCACACATATTATATACGGTTTTTCTTGCCATTAAAGG